CCCAGCCAGTTCCATCCATAAGTCAGCCCCTCCAGTCTCCTCCCTGGGCTCTAGGCATGTCCCCTCTGATCCATCTTCCTATGCCAGGTGGGTAATCAGGCCCCTCCAACCAGGCTGGGTGACTTGTCCACACCCCAGAGCCCCAGCCACACCTGCTCCCGGCCCTCAAGCCAACCTCACTCTTGCCAGAAACACCTGCCCCATTCAGCCACCCAGCCTCCAGCAGCTGAGCTCTTCTTCCTTTCCTGTGCCGAACTCTCAAGGTCCCTTCCCAGTGGGGGGTCCCAGGTCTGATTCACTTCCACATACATCCCCCCTAGCCCAGGCTAGTGCTAGAGGCTACATTAGGTGCCCAGTTAAGGTGCGTGGATCGTAGAGCTTCAGTCAAGCCAGGCTCCAGCCAAATCAGAGGCCTACCTGTGGGCCTCTTTGTCTCTCTACTGAATGGACAAAATCACCCCTGCCCATTCTCCCTCCAGAAGCTGCCTCTGTCCTGCAGGAGGTGGCTCGAGTTAAGGACACCATGGGCAGCAAGTGGGAGGGCTTAGCTAAGCAGGGGCCTCCCTCTGGCCTGCCCATGGGGCTCGGGCCCTGGTGCCTGCCCTACTGTCTGGTTATAGCCCTGCCTCCTCCACTGAATTCTGCTCCAGCTGTGTTCTTGGCCAGCCGGACCAGCAAACACTGCACCCTAGGATGAGGGTGCTGGCCTCTCCCACAGTCCTGCCACAGGGCCCTCCATCCTCTAGGAAAAGGCCCTCCAGCTCGGTGAGAACCCCCATGGGTGAGAAGCAGGAAAAAGAAAAGGCAGAAGAATGGCAAGAAAGACATAAAAGTGGAAGGGATCTAGCCAGGGGCAGGTAGGAGTACAGAGGAAAACCCCAGCGGGGGTCAAGGTGGATCGACCCTCTCCACCAGGAAAGCAGGAGGCGGTTTGTTTTCTCCAAGCCCCAGGGGTTGAGATATTCTGGCCCCCACTCTACTTCCCTCCACTCCCCCTGCACCTGCTCTGTCTCCTCTTAACCCGTATTTGGAAGAATGTTTTGTATTCGCTAGGCAAAGATCAAGGCTCTTTAAAAATACACAACTGATAACTGATGGATGCAACGGTTTCCACACCCGAGAGCCCGCCTCTTCCCGTCGGTCTGCACGCTGGCCCGACCGCGAAACCGCTCGGACAGGCGGGGGTCGGCCTGCACCCGGGGGCCCAGATCCTCCGCCAGCTCCCCGGGCCACCTTTGAGCAGCTCCACAGTGCGCAGCTGGAAGGGGATGCCGTTCTTCCTGGCGAAGATGTAGACGGCGCGGCAGGGCTGCGACAGCAGGTCCAGGTAGAGCTCCAGGACCATGGCGGGGCGGCCAGGCGCGGGAGGGCTGGCAGATCTGGAGGGCGGGCAGGGAGGACAAGCCCAGGTGACAGCCCCAAGAAGGAGCCGCGGCAGGAACCGCCATGGCGCACAAGCCCGGGACACCCCGAGCCCCCTCACGCCGCCCCGCCCATTGGTTGGCTCCGGAGAACTTTAGGCCAATCAGCGGCGCCTCCGGTCTCCCGCCTTCCCCCTCCTGGACCCAATCCCGGCTGCGGGCCTCTTCCCTTGCCGGGAAGGCACAGAGGAACCTCAACTCCGCCCCGGGCGTCGCTGCCAGGAGGGGGTCATACCCCCTCCCTTGACCTCAATGCCCACCCTCCCACGGGGCAGGGAGAATGGCAACGAGAAACGGGACACCAAGGGCGCTTCCAGCACAGACTCTCAGTGAATTTAGGGTCGAAAGACCTGGGCTCCTTGTGGTGGACCCAAGCCCCCTCCTTCCATCCAGCACGAGGGCTGAGAGAGGAGGGGCTTCGGAGTCTCCCTGGAACACAGAGGGCGGCGGGGAAAGGAGGTGCAGCCGCCTCCTCACCCCATGCCTGGGCCCAGCTCCCAGAACGGAAGCTGGGGA